AACGTGATTTTAAATGTGACCCTGCTGCATCTGGGTTTGGAGTTGTGTTCATTCTCCATTTCCTTTAACTACAGGTAATATCAAAGTCACTAATGAATCCAAAAGCTTGTACATGAAAAGAGAAGAAACTAAAACATAATCGTGGGAGGTTTCCAAGGACTTAAAAAAAAAAAAAATACACAAGTAATCAGAGACACAAAATGAGAAACAGATTAACAACAACAACAAAAAAAAATCAGCAAAACAACGAATGCTTCAATAGCTGAACAACAGAAATTGCAAGCACGTGCGCTGTCATTTCTCCCTAATGGGAGCCGACATTCAGGTGTACGGTAAACACCGTTCAAAAATGTTCCCGTCGGGCGCTTCGGTGTTCCATGACAGTGTGACAGTGAACTCGTGTGCACGACAGAAGCTAAATGAGATCCGAGCATCATTCATATGACGACGTACAACTCGCTTTCCGGACAACCTGTGAAGTTCCCTGCAAAGGGTGACTTGTTAGTGTCTCAAACAAGAAAAAAGACCGGTGGGATTTGTCACAGCAAAAGATGATTTCCGGGCTCAGAGCTGTCCTTAGTTATGCGCCTCAATTCATGCAAATTGCAGTTTGAGTCCCGCCGGTGAATGGCGTGTGCTGATACAAAAACAGAAAGGAGAAAGGTCAGGCATTGCTCAGAGACAGAGATGCCCTCATTGTTCAAGTAGTCATCGGAATTAATTGTTGTTTTTTTTTGTTTTGTTTTGTTTTCCCTCCCGTGGGCCCAACCGTCGATATGAAAAGTTTACACACCCGGGTTTAAATGCCAGATATTTGGCATACATCGTTTGGGATGTCAGGTGAAGATGAATCATTCAAGACTTTTTCCACCATTAATGTGACCTATAACGTATACAACTCAAATGATTTGCGGGGGTAAATCTATTCAGTAGGGGAAGTAAAAAAAAAAAAGTTTAAAAAAACAACTGCAGTAATGTGTTTGCACAAGTGTGCACACCCTCTTATAACAGGAGTGTGGCTGTGTTCACAATTAACCAATCACAGTCAAATTCTCTCTCTCTCTCTGTCTCTCTCTCTCTCTCTCTCTCTCTCTCTCTTTCCTCACACATGAAATACCCCAAAGACATTTGGCAAAATGTGTTACGGTCCAATGAATACCATTCCCACATTAGCACAAAACTGTCAAACGTCTGCCGGAAAGCAAAAAGAAATGTCAGGAAAAGCCTACTAGAACATCTGAAATTGATTCGGGTTAAGTCATTTAAGATAATGGGAGTGTTACTGACTAATTCTGAACACAGCCGCATCCAAGTTATAAGAGGGGTGGACACACTTGTGCAACCGTATTTTCCCGTAGTTTATCTTGATGTTCTCTCTCAAAAAGATTGAGAAAAAAAAACAAACTATTACGCTGTACGGGTTATAAGTCACATGCTTGGTGGAAAGGTTTTTGAAAGAAGTTATGTTGGTCTAATTTTTTAGATCATAAAAAGTTGGCATTGAATAGGCGTGTGTTCTTTTTGACATGTCTGTTTTTTTTTTTACTTCCTGTAACCGCTGCTGATAGTCCCTGTGCTTTTTTCTCACTCCCAAAGTGGCAATGAAATTAGGATGTGCGTGTGTGTTTTTCCATTTGGCTGCAGGGCACAAATTTTGCCTAGCAACAAGTGGCCACACAACCAGGTGACATGACGAGGAAAGCAGATTAGCGGTACATGCAACTCTTTTGATTCACGTTGTAGCTTGCCTAAACCTCAAAATGAGGTGCTCTGTGGTTTCAGAGATGCTAAAACACAATTTATTTCAGTAGCCCAATTAAAAATAAATAAATAAAAGCCACACTCATATCTTAACTCCACCGAGAGTGACATGTTTTCTGATTTTATTTTGGTAGTTTTAATGACGGGAACTTACAGCTAACAAAAACCTTTGGTTAGCTTACGGCTAACAAAAACCTTTTTGTTAGCTTACGGCTAACAAAAACCTTTTTGTTAGCTTACAGCTAACAAAAAAACCCACACTTTACCATCTTTGACAAATGAGAATTTCGCATCAACTCATAATGATTTTTAACAAAGAAATTACAAAGGAATTGGCCGTTTGAAAAATATTTTCCGATGTGTGTGATAAATCTGGATATCATTACAATTTTATCTTCAATTATCCTTAAATTCAAGACTCTTTTTGTGTGAATGCTTGCCCAGCACTGCCGATTTATGCCATTAAAGTGGCAGTAAGCGTGTTAGTGACACTTCCATTCGTATTTGCTGTTGCTAAAATGTCATTAAAAAAAAAAAAAGACTTTGGCAAAACACAGCAGTCGTTTTCATTTCCATCCAATAATGTTCTATTGGATCCAGAAGCTGCCAATGTGGCTTTTATTCGTCTTTTAACAAACTGGCACACAGTTCTGTTTTGTCACAAAAATTACACTTGCTTTGTTTTCATTTACACATCATAGTCACTTTTTATTTATTTTTTTTCCTCGCCGCGATTGATATGTTGATGTTTTTAAACACATGAAACATATTTTCTGTACATCATTTTGGGAGAAGGATCATAAAGATCCAAATCAAAAGGATTTGTGGATGATTATGCAATTGAAGTCATGAATACACCAAAAATGCAAGCTACTGTATGGTAAAATGATTGGTTTTTTTTTTTGTTTTTTTTACATAGTTTACAAATATAAACACACATTTTGAAACGCAAAGACACATAAAAACGCAAGTTCAGTTATTAAGGCCAGCGCCAGAGAATGGCAAATTAGCAGCAGAATTGCTACAACACTCAAATGGCAAGTGCTTTTTTTTTTTTCTTTTTAAATCCTTCATGTCCATGTTACATATTTTAGACCAATCTGCAATGCTACTATTTCATGTGTTGTTATTATTTTTTTTTTGTGTGTTAGCTCCCTAACCGTCAATTTGAACAAAAGGATGATCAAAGAGAAGAATGGCCTGCGCCAACGTAACCCTTCATTAACTCTCCCAAAGGGAACAAGTTAATTAAGTGTTGGTGCCATGCGGCCTCCTCAAGCGATTACGTACAATCGTATTTACAGGAAATGAGAATGTATAGCTGTGCTCCTCCTGTGATTTTTGACAGCAAGCAAACGTTTTTGTTGTTGTTTTTTTAATGTACCGGTTTTTATGATACATCTTTGGAAAAGGTCCAGCCCGTCGAAGTGCTCAATGAAAACTCGTCATTAGAATGAGAATAATAACACTTAATGCTTTGTAATCGTGCATGTATGTCTTCCCGCCCGAAGCCAATTATCGCTCTTATTTGCTGCAAAGTCATCGATAAGTTTGCTCAAAATAATGGTTCGAGCATCCCATATGCTTGTCTTTACCTACAACCTCGCAACAGTGTAATTTCCCAAGAAAATGAGCCATAGGGAAGAAAAAAAAATCATTAACATCAGCAAAAGTTATTCCAGGCAGAGAAAGAATGGCTCGATGTGCTGCTCAATGAGCAGAGCAGCAGCCGGCAGCCTTTGCAGCCTTTCTAGCCTCCAGTGTCCCTTCCCATCTCCATATCTTCATCTCGCAACATCTGCCTGACATGACAGCAAAGTGCCACTAAAACACATCTCCTCAGGATAAAAAAAAAAAAAAAAAAAAAGGTGAGAGGCTATGACAGCTGTAAATTGCCTATTTCCTCCCCTAAGCCGTCCTCCTCGTTTTTGCTACGTGTTGAATTCTTCGAAAATTGTCCCATAATTGCTCTCAGTCCCCCACCCGTCCCCCCCATTTCTACCGTGGAGGTTTATCTCATTCCCGTTGCCCCCTCTCATTACTCATCCCACTCGGAATAATTCTAAGTGACTGGAGGTGCTCGCTGTGAGATGAGCCAACGGTCGTAAAGACGGAACATCGCTCGCGCACGAAGCCGACGCAGGCTACCGACTCGACGACGCTCTCCTTGCTTTTGTCGCCGCCATTTCATTTTCCTCCACTCACGGGCATCGGCCTTAATGCGTTGTTGTTTTCAGCGAGCGCGCGCCGAGGAATAAGAGTCCATTTATGACCCTTCATCTACTCTAACGTGCCCCCATAGGGCTAATTATTGGACTCGGAGGTAACTTTTCCAGGGCCGTAAAAGGTAGACGCATGTTCCCAGGACGCCAAAGTCAACTGTCAACGATACAAAAGCGGAGCCTTTTAAAGTACAAAGTGATACTTTAAAGTGGAACGCCGGTCATATGCGCACTGCAATTGGCCGGCGATGTCGATGGCTAACCTGGATGTGTCATCATCATTGTGACCATTCCGCCCGCGTCTTGGAACAGTTGTGAAAGTCAAGAAAGTCGCACTCCTACGGTGATGGGTTCTGAAGAACGCGAGGGTAGTACGACGGAGCTGTCGCAGTGCGGGTGCGGCCGAACTTTGAACAATTTATGACTTGGTTTTGTTTACCCGTGGCAATATTAGAGATCATCAGACTGATGCTTGTGCAATGCGCAGAATGTTTTATGATGGTGAAAATGATGACTGGAACAGATTTTTTAATATATTGTTCAAGGGGCAATTAATTTCATGTCTTCAAGGTCAAGCCGGCTGGAATGGAAGTTTTCAAAATGCCATACGTACGATGTTGCTTGGATTCCTCAAAAAAAAAAAAAAAAAAAACACCACAACATTGACGTTAAATCAAATCGCAGCGCAAAAGCAAAGTTACTTTTTAGTACCAGTCGAGTGGCCAGCGATTTGTTTTCAGTCAGTACCGCGTTTGGCTTTCGGCGGCGTTCCGACGAACCGATAAAGTGATCTAACTCAATGAGAGCCTCGTGCGATGCGGGCAGAGGAAGAGCCGACGGGGCGAGCGAGTAACAAATGCGTGGTGAGTCATGAAAAAGAAATCAGAAGACGCGCTCCATCTCGGAAGCACTAGAGCACGCCGTTTCTTGCGGTTTTGTCTTGGAGAGCACGTACGGTTGGGGGGGGGGGGGGGGGGGGGCGTGGCTATGTGCTTCTTGTTAAAAGAGGGGATGTACTTTTTTTTTTTTTTTGGAGTGCGGAGCAGGCTCCGGGTGGACTGTTTTGCCCAGGCGGCACTTCTCCGTTCAGCCATGCGCTATCTGCTCTGGAGCTAAGACACAAGATACTGCTGCACGACGAAATATCTTTTCACTCTTAAGAAGGAGAGGAGTTTTCCTTTTTCAATGAAAGCCTCTGCGGTTCTTTCTGGCAACTTCTCCCGGGGAGTTGGCATGGGTTTGAATGCGGCAATGACAGAGAAACGAGCAGAAGGTGGATGATTTAGTGGCTGCCAGACTCCCAGTCCAGGATGAGTAGAGACAGCAGCAAGAGCGGAAAGACTGGCGCCACCGAGCTGGCTGCTCCTCGCTGCCTCTCGGTGGCCCTTGACTCAGTGTCGGAGTCTTTCTCAGAATATGGCGGGATGATGTTAAATTCCTCACTCTTGACCTCCTCTTGCTCCACTTCCTCACTTGTCTCGATCTGTGAATGGAAGTCATTGCGATTAGGAGAGGAGTGACGTGTGAAGGAAACTCGACCGGTAGAAGCGCTTTGTGTTTGTTCGGGTTCACATCTGGGTTGGAATAATTTGGGATTTTTCATTTCGTTTGTTTATCTTTTTTTGTCTTAGTTTTGTTTTCATTTGTTTTTGTTTTATTTCATTATTTTGTTAGATAGACAATACGAGGTTTTGGTTTTGCCCACAATATACCAAACCCCCAAAAAAAAACGAACAGCCGAAGTATCAGATTGTTTGGGGGTGACGTGGCTCAGTGGTAGAGTGCTCATCTCCCAACCCGGAGGTTGGGGGTTCAATCACTGCCCATTGCGACCTTGTCGAAGTGTCCTTGAGCAAGATGCTGAAGCCCCAGTTGCTCCTGACGCTGCGTCGTACTATAAAGCACGGGCGTCAAACTCATTTGTGTCGCGGGCCACTTTGGAGTTGCGTCTTCCCTCGGACAAACCCAATACATGTTGACGGAATTATCTCATCGTATTATTTCTTGTACACAACCAATTGACGGATGACTAGTGTTGCCATCACAAAAGCCAACTATTTGTTTGTTATCCAGTGCATTAGGTTTAAAGTTTATTTTTTTTCTCCCCCCAGACTTTTTTTTTTTTTTTGGGCGAAGAGGAAAACTCGGATGTCACTTTAGCCTTCGCTGAACCCGTCACTGCTAATTTGTTGGTTGTTTTGTTTGATTATTGTTCAAGTGAGTGTAAACAGGGTAACAAAAGGATTACAAAATTTCAACGTTCTTTATCACATGTCATGACATTTCGTTAAGGACTTTAGCAAGGATCGTGGAAGTTGCCGCACATGATTTGCTTTTGCGGGCCATATAAAGTGATGTGGGGGGGCCATATATGGCCCCCGGGCCTTGACTTTGACACCTGTGGTATAAAGCGTTGAGATTAGCAAAGGTAGAAAAGCGCTACATACGTGACAGCCCATTTACCAGATTGTAACTTGATTCCAAATCGTTCGGTCCTCCAAAACAACTGTCAAAATGAAAAGTCCAAAACGCGCCGATCTTCAAGTCATTCCTTTTCACGAGTCTTATTGGACCACTCCACTTAAAAGGTTCTATTTGCAGCTGTAGCGGATGAAGCCCGCAGTGTGTACACTGTAAACACATTTGCTGCTCTGTGATGTGAGCAGGAAACAGCTGTCACCATGGAGAGTCACTCACCCAGCTGTCGACCTATGTCAAGATGTTTTCTTGGGCCCGAAAAGTGACGATGTGCACTTTTCACCGCTAATGATTAATTAAGTGAATTGACGCATGAATACCTTCATATGGTGAGCACATATGGCTGTTAGTGCGCTTTACTGACCGTAACAAACCGTCATCACCCCATCGCTCGCTTTCGACCGCATATTCAGCTCACCTAAACGTACCCCAATACGTCAAATAAAAATAAAAGAACTCCGAAGGCGGTTATTATTAAATAAACTGTGTATGAATGTTTAATGCAGCCCCCCCGGTGGCAGGTTTTGCAGCAGTGGGGTGTTGTGGGAGGATTAGGAGAAAAGAAAGAGAATATAGAGTGAAGGGGTGTGCATACATGAATATTAAAAGTTGAGGACTGAGCCAAACGTTGCAAACACCTTCCGCTAATCCGTGACCACAAAGGGCAGGAGGGGGGTTTAGGGTGGCGGAGCGTTCCACTCGAGTTTAGTTTTAGTTAGTCTTGCGTGGATGTTGAGGCAGGGGGTTCACACTCTCACGTGGGTGAGGTGGTGATTGTGCACCGACGGGGCTTAACTCACGGTGGTAAATTCCGGGAGAGAGTTGACGGCGTGAACCTTCTCCTCGCGGACTCTCGGGGAAGGCTCGGGAGCTGGAACGGGGCTGGTCTCAGCGGGGGGTGTCACGGAAACTCCCATGGAGCTGATAGCAGCACCTGAGGTGGAGTCAGCGGGAGGGTCGGGGGG